AAGGATTCTGGTCCATATTTGGTGTGGAGCATCCTTGGGTAAAGAGGAACCAATTTTGGATAAACAGTGGGTAGGACCCCCTGGGACCTGAGGGGCGGGGCCAAATAGGGGAAATAGAAGTAAAACCTTTATAATCCTTCTACCATAGGGATTAAGGGATTTTATCCTAATTTAGTCTGTAGCATCCTTGGGCCAAGGGGACTCAATTTTGTATAAGCAGTGGGTGTGGTCTCCCAGGGGGCAGAAGGGCTGGGCCCAATAGGAGAAATAGAGGTAAAACCTTTAAAATCATTCTTCGACCATCGAAATCAAGGGATTTTATCCTTATTTAGCCTGGAGCATCCTTGGGCCAAGGGGTCTCAATTTTGTATAATTGGTGAGTATGACCCCCCTAGGGGCACAGGGGTGGGGCTCTGTTTGAAGTTTGTTCTTGCTATATCTCAAGTACTGGATGGATCTTTCTGAAATTTTATATGTACTTACAGCACCTACCATGGAGTGCTATACCTTTACTCCATACCAATTATTTTAAACATATTCAGGGGAGGGATACAGGCCCTCTGGGCCTCTTGTTATGAATAACATGGTTTTGACAGTCCGTAAACTTAACAGTTCTATAAGCTTTATTGTAAAAATTCTTTTTTTACCGATTTCATGCTAGTCTACTCATGAAAGATGTTCATAAACACGGAATGGCGTAATGGCGTACTTTTGCGTTTTATTTGTATCAAAGAATTATCTAGTGACAAAATGAAATTCGAACACTATATATGAAGTAGATGATGTTTTGATGTTGGAGTAACGCTATTGAAACCAATATTTTACTTCGAGGTATCTGAGTTTTTCGACTTTTCAGGGTTCAAATTATTAGAGTTTTATTTGCTAAGATAAAAAAAAGATTTGGCCGGGACCAGAGAAATACTTCAAGGTAAAAGGGGTCTTCGAGAAAAGAGTTCGCGATAACGAGGTTCGACTGTAGTCCTTTTGACGAAACTTTGTCCCATCAATTTTTCCTTTTTCATTTCTGTCCCCATTTCTAGACTGTTTTTGTCTCCATTTCTTTTTCTGTATCTCAAATGTGACATATTGTCACCCTCTTTTAAAAGGTATGCAAAGCTCCTGTAAAAAGGAGGCAGGAAACTTGATGTGATTTTAATATAGTAATCCCATTGTTTATAGGCTGGTATGTTACTAATAATACACAAAACCCCAAAATTGTAGGGGGTGGAAAAATAAGTGGTACAGTCTCGTGAATCATCTCATTGTATCTGTCATCAAAGAAAAACCTCAATTTTATAGACTTCGGGTGTCGGTATATTTCAACTTCCGTACCAGTCCGATACGTCGGCCATTGTATCAAAAAACAAAAACGACATTTACCACAATATAATATCCTGGTTTTATTTACAACAGATATTTTTTATTTCTGCCCAACAAGTATAGTGTTGGGTTACCGGTGATAGTGATTGACTGGTCATCGTGAATGAAAGTCGTGAGCCATCACGATGCCACCATCGTAGAAGTGGTTCACGATCCCTCACTGTGTGTTCGTTTTCTGCCACGCCTCAGCTCCCTAAGGAGTCTATCCCTTGTATACTTGGACGCGTGATGAGCCCTGTTTTCTTTGATCAAGAGTCCGGGGATAGCATAAAAAAGCCATTAAGTGAGATTGGAAACTGTATCATGCCCATTAAGGAGCGAAGGTACCGTAACACGGGTTTTACTGTCGTTCTACCTGAACGGATAGACAGCTAGTTATCATTATCATAGCAGAAAATTACACTTGATTTGGTTGTGTGTCAGTTTTTTCCCTTCAACAAACAGAATGGATACCTGTTCTTACTTTTATTCTTGTCCCTTTTCTGTCCTTCCTTCCTTCCCTCCTTCCTTCCCCATCTCTTTCCATACTGCTTTTCTCTTTCATCACTTTTCATGCCCCTTTTCTGTTCCATTACCTTTCTTTCCTATCTATGTCCTCCTATACGTGTGTGTACCTCTGTCTTTCATACCTGCCTTCTCCCAAGCTGTTTGACCCCTACTCCACTCCATCTCCCCATTTCCATTCTCCCATTTGCTACTAATACCTACATTTTCCTTCAGTCCCCTACCCTCTCATCCATCTTCTTTCCCAACTCTGCCTGGACCCTCCCTAACCGTCTCCCTGTCTCCCGAGTCCCCTCCAACTGTTTGCATTTTACTCTATCACCCTTCCCCATCCTCCCTTTTATTTCCTTTCTTTTCACCTGATGTAACTCGCATTTTCCTCCCTGATCTTTCCGTCTCCCAATTATCTTCCCTTACTAAGACACTTATTCTCCCCCACACACTCCCCCCATCTCTGCCCCCAGCCCACATCATACTATCTCCCTCCCATCATTAACAAATTAACCCCCTGCTGCCAGACTGTATTTTTCCTTTTTCCTTTCTGTTTTATATACTCTGGCCACATGGATGCAAATAAATGTTCATGCATCTCCTAGGCCATGCATGCATATATATGTGTACTGTGAGCTTAAAAGTAGCTTTAAATTGTTTTTCTTCATCAATGCACATTTTACATGTGTCGTGCTGGAACACAATATGTGTTTTTTAGCATTTCCCAGATCACATAATACAAACTTATCAATCAAATAAAAAACAAGGTATTCTTTTACCATTGAAACCAGTTTCCTTTGGAATGATGTATGTAACTGTACAGGAAAAATAACTAAAAGGTGATTTTTTTTCTGGAGAGAAGGAAAAAAATCGGCTTGCATGCAAAATTTGAGTTTCAGTTGTAAAAAGCATGATTAGTATACAGACAAGTTCACAGAAAACATTTTGTCAGTATCTGCAGGTTAATTTTCGACGTTATTGAAATTTCTTTCAAGTATTACATGCATATTGGCATGTTAAAAAGGGAAACAAAAAATATGTAATTATTTATAAACATTTACACCACTTTTTATTATTCAATTTAAAACTTTTAAAGGAATCCTTAAGCTGACAAATGGTTGAATGGTTTGTCCTTGGTAATTTAATTCAATGAAATGAGCATAAAACATTAAATGGAATCATTCAATTTCAGTGTAATCTAATTTGATTTCAATCCATTTCTAATTTTTTATGAAATTTACACCTGACTTCCCGAGATGTACAGATCAGCTGGCTAATTGTATGTGTCACTGCAGCAACAGCCACATGGCCGTCCAAAAGCTTCCAGGCCATTTTTGCTTATCAAGAATTTTTTCCCATTGATTCAAAGTTGAACACAGAATTAATTTGACTTTCATTGTCTGTTTGATTTATAATGCACTCAAGAAATTATGTGCTCGCTCAATTCAATCTCTTACTCAATGGAAGACTAAACACATTACAGCAGGTGAATTAAAAAGTTTTAGCAGAATGATAATTTTTGTCTATTTGTAATCCATTTGTCATGTGTTCTGATATGTACAAAATTGTATGCTTCCAGTAAGGTAAATTATAATCCTTGAATATGAGATTTTTCATGGACAAATGAAATTCATTGCCATTAAAAACATGATAACCCTAGAATAATGTTAAAGATCCGTAGTCATATACACATTAAAAGGTCATTAAAAATAAATAAAAAATGCATATTAAATTTTAAAGAAATTGTGTTAAGCAGAACAGCATACACAGTGAATGCTCTTTAACACGAATGTTTGACAAAAGCAACAATGAAATAAAAAAATATTTACACAATATTTTTTGTTTTCAAATATGAATTTGACATAAATTTGATGTCACCGCACAAAGAAACCTGAGAATTTGTTTCAGCTATCTATGTGTGTACAAAAATGCCAACCCCATTAATGATATATTCATATAAATATATCATGAAAGGGGTGGCTTATTTACTGAAAGCTGTTCTAATCCCCTTAAACATGTAATATTACTCTAAACATCTCATTTAAGGTCCAAATATACAACATGTAGCTGTAACAAATTCTCAGGTTCCTGTGACCATTCAATCCCTGATTAAGGGCTATCCTGAAACCTTTAATATACAGGGACTATTTCATTATGTTCCAAGGAAAATTATGATAAAGATTTTAATACATGTATTACACATGTCATCAGCATTGTGAAAGAATTCGACCCATTGTATATCGCCAAAACTGCTAGGGTTTGATTCCCAAATCGGGTTTGAAAAGGGATGGGGTCACCAGCTACCAAACCACCTGAGATTTCCCTTGATACTCTGGTTTCCTCCCACATCCAGATCCCCCCCCCCCCTGAGTGCACTCTACCATTGGGGCTAACAAGAGTGATTGATATAAATTGATAGAACTTTTTTTCACAGTTTTAAAATAAATAAAGTTTTATTAGATTACCGTATAAATTAAAGGTCAAAAGGAGGCAAATAAAGGAGTTGCTTTTTAGGATAATTTCGTGAGTGTATAAAAGGTTGAGAACTCGGATGGAGTTGCATCATTGATTATCTATGCAAAGCAAACATTGAGAAGAGAATAGTTGTAGATTTGAGGTTTCTCTTGTGAAACCAATTTCTATTGCAAATACTTACCACAGTCATTATAATGCATATTCCAACCTTACTTGGCCCTTTACATACGAAAATATAGAATTTTTCCCCCCATGGGGAACTCCTGGGAAACCCACCAATCAGACGGCAGTATACACGCACGAGATAAGACACCAAGCCATGCTTCCCACTTCATAATTCCAAAGCCCAAAAAAGTGAGAGCCAAGGAGACGAGGGGAGGCTGGGAGGGAACTCACCTAATGACTGTGGTAAGTATTTATAATAGAAATTGATTTCACAAGAGAAACCTCAATTCTATTTGTTCTTATGTTACCACAGTCATTATAATGCGAATTTGACTTACCGCAGTGGTGTCTCCGTGGAGCGATGAAGGGTTCCAACAATAGGACCCATACCCCCGGAGGAAAAATTCAAAATACCCTTTCCTTTTGTGACACAAAGCCTGATTACGACCAGCGTTCCGGATCACGCGGAGAAGACATAATGAGGCTTATGCAAAAGAAGAGGGAGGACAGACAACGGACTGGGCAGCCACAAGAGGGCCCAAAGAATACAATCCGTCAGACTGTCCCGACAAAGATCGGAGATAGAACTCCGTAAACGTAGAATGACCCCTCCAAACAGCAGCTGTCATGACCTCAGCGTAAGAAGAACCATTAAATAAGGCCCACGAAGTAGCTAAAGCGCGAACCTCATGAGCCCTAACCCCTGACACCCGCAAGGACTGATCCCCTGCCGACTCATACGCAGCTCGAACAGTCTGAACAATCCAGCGTGAGATGGTCGCTGCAGAGATATCAGAGCGACCGGGCTGGAGAGACTGGAACAGCCGAGACGAGTGTCCCGCCCCCCCCTCTGTTCTGGCCAAGTAGTAACGCAAGGCCCGAACTGGGCAGAGCAGGCGATCAGGACAATCCCCATCCAGAGTTGAAGCCAAAGAAGGGATAACCACAAGCCCTGGGGTGAAACCGGGAACCTGGTTCTTAGCTAAAAAGGAGGGATCAGTGGTCACCGAGACCGAAGAATGGCCAGCCGAAAAACGAAGGCAAGAAGAAGATCTGCTGAAAGCATGAATCTCGCTTCTGCGGCGACCGGAAGCAAAGGCTATCAAGAACACAGTCTTGAAAGTAAGAAACTTCCGATCTGTCGACTGGAGGGGCTCGAATGGCGCCCTTAACAAGGAATCTAGCACAAGTGCTAAATTCCACCTAGGGACCAATTGCCGTGAACGAGGCTTCTCAATGTAGAAGCCCCTAATGAGAGCCGACAATGAAGCGTCCGAGCCCACTGACTTGCTACCATAGAAAGCCAGCACACTAGCAATGGCTGAACGATAGCCTGCAATAGTTCCCGGAGACAGACCTTTGTCCCTGAACAGAGACAAAAGAAAGTCAGCTACAACGGGAACAGAGGCAGAGACTGGATCAATCGACCGTCCGACACACCAATCACCGAATGCGGACCATCGAGATTGGTAGACGGCGGAAGACGAAGGTCTAAGTGATCCTGCGATGCGAGTTGCAACTTCTCGAGAAAAGCCCGTCTGAGTGAGCCTTCCCGAGATAGCATCCAACCGTGAAGGTGGAGCCGTTCCGGTCCCGAGTAGAACTGTCGGGACCTCGGTTGAGACAGCAGATCCCACAGGGGTGGGATGCTGCGTGGGAAGTCCACCGACAGCCGAAGCAACAGAGGAAACCAAGGTTGTCGAGGCCAGAGCGGTGCAACCAGCAACACAGTACAAGGGTGTAGAAGGATCTTTTCCAACACCCTGCCCACCAGATTGAAGGGAGGAAACGCATACGCGTACATTCCCGACCAGTCCTGGGATAGAGCATCCACCGCCATGGCCATAGGGTCTGGAACCGGAGACACAAATGTAGGGAGTCGAAAGTTCAGGGCCGTGGCGAACAGATCCACATGGGGTCTGTCCCAAACCAGGCAAAGAGACCGGAACACCGAACGCTTGAGGGTCCATTCGGTGAGAACCGGGCTCCGAGACCGAGACAGAGTGTCGGCCAGAACATTCAGACGACCTGGAAGGTGCCTCACCGNTGGTACGGGTCGAAACCGCCCAAACGAACCCCAGGGAAGACTCAACAGAGGTCGGAATTCCGCTGGTGTTCTCCGAGGGCTTAGGCCTAGCCTTAGCCCTCGCCCCACCCCTACCCCTTCTACCCGACTTACCTGCACGCCCTCGCGGGCGGGGAGAACCACCGGCAGGAGTCGGCTGCCAGGCACGGCAAATTTCACACGGCTGCTCCAGAGAGCAAGACCGACAGCCAGGACAGTAAGGGTGGGGGTCGGAAGCCTCAAAAAAATGACCCCCAGGACAGCGCCTTTGAGAAGGAGGAGTCTCCATCTCAAGTAAACAAACCGTCAAAAACGCGAACACGTGGCCGGAGCCTGCTCGCAAAACGGCGCAAAATATAGCAAAACGCTAAATTAAAACAAAATAAAGTTCTATAGTATTAAAGGATACGTATATGTATGGGTACAAACAACGCCTGTTGCAGTTGGAACCCGTAGACACCAAAACACGTCCGTAAACACGGCCGGCTGAAGGAATTATGAAATGGGAAGCATGGCTTCGTGTCTTATCATGTGCGTGAATACTGCCGTCTGATTGGTGGGTTTCCCAGGGGTTCCCCATGGGGGGAAAAGTTCTTTATTTACGTATGTAAAGAGCCAAGTAAGGTTGGAATATGCGTTATAATGACTGTGGTAACGTATTTTGAAATAGAAGTAAGGGTTCAAGCAGAGGAACCTTGGTACTTGGGAAAGGGGTTGCTTAGGGATCCCGTATAACTACCACAAACTGCAACTTAGAACTGTTTTTTCCCCGGCAAGACTTCACCCTTAATAAATCAATCCTGGAAAGAAAACCATACCTTACTGGATGGACCTTTAAAAAAATTTACAAAGAGGATATAAACAAAAGATAATCAATAAGAGTGGATCGAGTGCAAAATATAATCTGTGCTGCTATATTTAGATTGGGATTCAAAACCCTGGACTTCAGATTGTGATACATGTACTTTCACTGAAACCGATTGAACAACCTAGTTAAATGAATTGTACTAGCCCAATATGTGCTACAGACATTGTATCAAAATGTAAGTTGGTTCGCAGTGGATAGCGCACTTGCATTTCACAAAGGCGACCAGGGTTTGATTCCCCGATTGGACGTGAAAAGGTTTGGGCTCGCCAGCCTGACCATGTGGGTTTTCTCCGGGTACTCGGGTTTCCTCCCACACTAAGACCCCAGCGCGCTAATATCCGGTCAACAAGAGTGATTAATATAAGTTGAATTAACTTGTTTCATAATTGTTGTAAAATAAATAAAGTTTATATTTTAAAATGTATATTAGAGGAGGGTTACTGTACATAGGAAAAAATGGCAGTGTAGTGGGACAGGGATCCTTAAATGTCTTGGGTGGGTATTAGGTTGTGATTATAAGAGAAGGATTAGGGGTGTGACAAATTCATTATTTAGATTACAGGCAGGCTATATATCAGAGATAAAACTTAAATTATATATATTCGTGAACCCTAAATTGTGGCAAATATATATAAATAATATACATGTCTATGTAATGGACTGAGTTGAACTCGGAGGTAGAATTGGCAGGTTCGTTACATTGATAATAAACAGTTGCTAGACGTTTTGAAATTAATTCGTAATTTTTTGAAAGTACCAGCACAAAACCAAACGTATGTTTAAAACATCTCGCAGATGGGTTTCCACTTCACAAGTTGGTTAAATATCGTTAAGTAGTAAATAATACTTGGATTGATATTCAGACGAGTATTTGAAGTGAGTTGTGTGGGTTTCAAATGTAATAAGTGCTTCTAAATGTTATCTCCTCCTTTTGGGTCAAATGTTAGGCAGTCGCAAAAACTAATGTAGAGTTTCAAAAATGATCACCCTTTTGAAGCGTTCCTGACTGATTGGGAGATGATGTATTCTTTTACACTTGCTTTTGATGATTTTACCGAGTTTGGAGCCCTTTTGTGTGCTTGTATTGTAAATTTGTAATAGGGGAGACCTCCGAACTCCAGACCAACACACTCTTAAAACCTAATCATCAGTAACCTTATCACCGGCTACAGTTTCAGTATTGTAGCAGTCAAAATATCCTAAAACAAATAAATTAAAGTACTTGACAATATCAACACCCATGGTTATATATGATGGATGTACATGTTCCAAGAGGTGTGCACCATGTCGCTAGAGCAGCACATCCCTTAGGGTCAGCTCCTGTCCAGGAAGATGATGATGATGTATATTTGCATATATGCAATACGAACAAACACAGACTATAAGAAATAAAATATTGATTGTTTTACTGAACACCAATGACCAAGAAAGAAAGACCGAACTCCAAAGGTTTACTGATCTGACAATGTATATTAAGTATTTATTGCCCTTGTTGTAGGGGAACATGATCTTTTGTTTCCCCAAGATTAAAAACGTTTTAGCAGGAATTGCCACGGATGCAGCATGTACGATGAAGGTGATCAGAGACTTATGCCTGTGGGGTTGTAGTTTTCTGCTTTGGTCACTCGGGGTCAGGGGTGGTGACTCTCTTAATTCTTCTCATTTGCTAAGGTATACACAGCTGTAACATTTTTTTCTATCTTTACAAGTTTGCTCATGCTTGGTGGAAATTAAATGACATAATTATCTGGATTCCATAATACAAGATGGGAGCAATTGCCTGAATGATTGGCTAAGACTTGCGGGCTAAAATATCTGTTCTGTTGGTCTAGTTTCGTTGGTAAGTGGTATTTTTCACATTAGACATATTTACATGTGTAATTCAATAACTACCATGATACTGAGATTTAACAAGATCACTGTTGCTTTTGCTGTATAATTTTGGGGGATAATATACGGTCAGGCACATGGATTGTTGATCAGTCATTGGTCCACTTACAGCCAGTAAAAAGTGACATTTTTTGAATTAAAATATTTCCCCAACCCACATAACGGTCAAACTAAACATCCTGGCTTTAAGGTTTAGGCTAACACACTTTTTATTAACACCAACATATATACTCCATTTGATCTATCTTTTGAGGCTCAGTTTTCTAGCTTGTCTTGGGGATCCAGAAATGTGCTATATCTCTCAGGCTCATATATCTTAACTGTATAATAATCTTTTTTTTCAATGTTCAAGGATTATAAATATTAGTATTTATCACATACCTGTTGAATCTTGTTATAGTAATACAAGCAATTTTCAGACCATGAAATACAACGTTCTGTATTGCACATGTGCAATACGAAATGTTGTATTTACCTATTAGCCGGAACTACTTGTTATGGGAATCCCCTTGTCATGGTGTATTGAAAAGTTCCCGGTATTTCAAAAAATATCAAAGTTTATAAAATCTTTGTATCAATCTCTACCGAATACGGAAGGTATGTGATAAAAGCAAGACAACACACTTGTGTTGTCTTGCATATGTATGTGCACTTCAAAATGTGTTGAAGGAAATCTGGCATCTTAATTATAAGTGCTAAAACAAAAATACATGTATATTTAGGAATCGGATATTTAACTTGGTGTGGCCTGGATGGTAATTAAGCAGTGCCACCTGGTGGTATTAGTTGTTTTAATTAATATAGAAACGTTATAAATGTTTGTAATCCTTCGTAATACTGTTCTTTATACTTTATCTACTGTCTGCTCCAGACCTGGCAATGTCAAAAGGAATATAATTTGGTAGATTTAAACTTTGGTGTTGCTTTATTTAAAAATTATTTAGAAAATTCAAGGAGTACCTAATTTCATGTTGTAGGTAAAAAAAAGAAGGTTTTAGTGATACATTTATAATTAATTTTCCAATTTTCCAATTGTAAATGGTTTTATTTTGTTTGAAAATGTACATGCATGACCCCATTCTGAAAAGTAAATGAATATTTTCAGCTCAGACCTAATTTGGCAGCAAAATGGAGGCATCAACAAATTTACTTGTAAAGAATATTTACAGTAGAATCTAAGGTGAATAAAGTGCTCTGTTTGGCAAGGAGTTGACCCTTTTTTGTGTAAGCTTCTACAAGGAGAATGAAGACTATCCCTCATATATAGTTCTTGTTGAGGTACCTATGCGTAAGTTTGATGTTGTGCGTGGTTTGTAAAACACTGTTACATTACAACTTATTGAAGAATGTCACCTCCATTGGTGTATACATGTCATGATGATAACTAATGTACAAGACCGATGGTCTTTATCGACAGGTGACGTTCCTTATATAACAAGTGTTCTTCATGGAGAAGTGTTCCTTTTAGACAGTTCTTTAAAGACAGTTTTTTCTTTAGAGACATGTGTTCTTTATAGACAGATGTTCTATTCCTTGTTGACATGTTTATTTTATAGACATTTAATTTTCGTAGACAGGGGTCCTTTTAGACAGGTTTCCTTTCTAGACGTGCTTTCTACGTTGATAGTTATTCTTGATCGACAGTTTTTTTTAAAGTTTTCTTTGTTGACGAGTGTTCTTCAGGAGGTCTTTTAAGAGACTTTTTCTTAATAGACAGGTGGTCATTCAGGTATGTTTTCTTTTGAAACAAGATGTCTGAAATATTATTTCTATGGCACTTGTGTGGTGGCTACTTCATGGACAGGTGGTCTGTAAAGACAGGTGATCTGTAAAGACAGGTGGTCATTTCAGACAGTTTGTCTTTATAGAATAATATGGTATTAAATTGGCAACCATTCGATATCCTCTTTATCTTTGTTTTAAATAAATGTACATGGATTGAAAATTAAAAAAAAATGTTGAAAAAATTAAACCTGGCTTGATTATAAACTTACATGAATGGGACATTTACATTGTATTACAGACACCAGGTTAATTTGCAACTACAGTTTCTAGTATACAAACATAGGTAAATGTTCTTAAAATTTTGATTTTTTTTTAACCACCACCTGTTCTGATCGGTTTAGGTACAGAAGATTGTCGAGTTGGTTGGGATAAAAGAAACATCTTTGATCATTAATATCACCTTCAGTTTATTTCAAAATTAAACTTATTTTTTTTTTAAGATTACAACGTGTTAAAGTCTGCAGATTTTCAGTTTTATGATTCGGGACAAAATTCCGGCTCTTTGAGAAATGTTGTGATCTGTAGGGATGATTCATAATGTGTTCCGTTTCTGGACACCTCCTTGACTGATCTGTGAAATGTGTTTATGTGACGAGACGGACAGCATTAAGTCTCGATTACATTCTGTCTGGTCACACCTGTCAGTAGACATAATCTCGTATCCCCACAGAGGTGTAAAGGCAGGGAATCTTTGACATAATTTAACATGTCATTTTAATACCCAAAGTTTAGAACAAATGTGATGG